CGTTTATAGGCAATTAAAGTTTCAATAGCCATTTCAATAATACGTAATGATGCTGATATACGTATAACATGTTCTTGTGCAGATAAATAGCGTGATGCCATCCATGGATGGCTATCCTCAAATGATGTTGCTTTCAGAAGAAAAATAAATATAGAAATATTATATTATTTTTATTTTTATCATAGATATACATACCTTTCAATGAAAGTCCATCAAGATAATCACACATAGCTTGATTTGCTTGTGGTTCATCAAAATGAAAATCAATTACATTGGAACAAAGACAATTAATTACTATAATCCATTGCTCAAGTGATGGATATCGATTTGGATCAAATACTTTTAATCGTCGACAAAATAAATGTGCTTTACTTGCTATAAATATCATTAACCAATCTGTACTATTATTTAATGTAATTTTTTTATTATTAAATTTAGTGTTAAGTAATTGTTGAATATAATATCCATTACTTGTACCCATAATTGACGAAGGTTGTTGTCGTTGAATATGTACATTAGTTTTATGTTCATCAAATTTATCTGATAAACAAAAGCCAATAGGTGTTTGTGTTAAATCATCTGATCGACAAAATATATTTGAAATAAATGCATTTCGATTATCGAATTGTTTTCCTGTTTGACGAATACATTGAACATTATTCATTGCTTGTTTAATATGTTCAACAAGTGATGATCGTTCGTAACCTAAATAAAAAATTTTAGACAAACTTACTCTATGAAAAATTTCATTTTTCATAATATTTTTGGAAGTTCGTCTAGATCGAGAAGATCTCATAAAGAACAAAAAAAAAAGAAACATCAATGAATATTGTTTACATATTCTCACTATAATTACTTTTTTATGCTTTTCCTTGATTGTAACTATTTTTACTCCATTTAAGGAAGTAGTATTAAAATGCTAGAAAAGTAATTATCATCATAAATCATATTGTATGCTATAGAGCTCAAATATATTATTTTAGTCTTTTATTTAACTATTTGATAAGTTCAGTTCTTTAGGCTGCACTTATAAATAATAATGAAAAAACAAAAATGATCTAAATCCTTTTATAATTTTTTTTCTAGAGACAATCAACGTAATAGTTAACATTCTGTTAATTTTATTCTTTTGTTTTCAAGTTATTTTTCTCAATACATTAATCTGAAAAAGATTATCATATGAAGATCGAATTTTGTTTATAATTTAAGGCATATCTATTTTCACTTGTTTTACCTGTTCGAGCAACTAATAATAAATGAAGATTGAGTTTATGTCTTAGTTGATTATCAGCATAAACAAAAGATGTTGATGTTAAATAGTGTGATGTTAAACCGAGTAAATGGACAAATAGACTAACATAATCATACATATAAAAGTCGCTCAATATATGTATTAATTCAAATGTATTTGGTGATAAAATTCGACGTAAATCAATTTGATAAGATTCATTTAGAACAAGAAATGTTGAATGAAACCATTGTTCTGTTGTATGAGCAATTTCGTCATCCATTTTTTTTTTGTCTTCTACTTTTTAGCTTTTTGTTTGTGTTCTCTATCGACTGTCACTTATTCTACTGATGACGACAAGAATTCTGTTTCAACTAAAAAGAATTCTTCTTCTATGTGTTCTACTTTTTTCCTTATTTCTTTCATTGAGTCCACTGTGAGTTGAGTGCAGAATTTTATATAGGCTGTCATTCGGTTGCGAGAGAGAGAGAGCGAACAGAACTGAATAAATATATATTTTGCCCTTATTCAACGGAGGAAAAAAAAGAATGAATGAAGAATTATGAATGCAATTTTCTTTTCATTATAAAATAAAATGAAACTTTGACAGTCAAATGAATAAAGAAAGACAGAATTATACTTGTTATTTTCAGTATCAACATTAGTAAATTTTCAATGTTATAAAAAAAAAGTGAATAAAAGCAAAAAAAAAGTTTTTTTTCATCATGATCATTGGGTATCCTATCTACATCATTGAAGAAGAAAACGACTTTTTTCCTGATGTTTCCTATTAGTAATGTAAATAAAATGAGTTTCTTGATGATGCCGTCAATTGTTTCTTAAATATATATTGCATTGAATATTAATACATAAGTCTAGAGAGAAATCTCTAAAATTGTCAGTTTCTAATCAGTCGTATAGTCAATATTTTATTGATGTCTTGATGTTTACTATGACACAATCGAATCAATTTCAAAACCAACATACAAATAACATAAGAATGAACAATATTCTGTTTTCAAAATGTCATATTTTGGTATTACTTATATATTAAGCTTTAATTAAAGATGATGATTAGTCATAAATAGTAAACAAACGTATCGTGACAAACATACCCTTGAGCATGATACAATTAATTTGTATCGCTCATCTATTTCATCTAATTGAAACTTGAAAATTAACTATTCACCTTTTCAAAACTGAGAATATATTATTATTTAAACTCAAATATTCATTGATTTTATGTCAATATATAAGTATTCATTTATTCAAAAAAAAAATTTTTAAGTACCAAACTATTCAAGCATTCAATGATTAATCTATCGAAATATTCAGACATAATATATGAGTATTCATCTGTTTGAATATTAAATTAGTCACAATATCACTTCGATGATTGAATCGTATTTATCAGTTTGATATTATATATTATCTTATCTGTGCCATATCATTACTTTTCTTTTTTACAACTATTTGTCATTGATAAAAGAATTATAATAATGAATTATCATTTATTCATATCTGATTAAAATTCTATTATTTATTAATATTATCTTAACTAAATCGGATCTAAATATCCTTAAGCCTTTTGTTCCTAAGGAATAAAGTATATTTTCTTCATATTTCTTCCATTCATTAGTAAAAACTCGAAAAACTAAAATGATCCACATCTAAACAGGTAAATAAAAATAGTATGGGGCCTGAAACCAAAGAAAAACTTGATTTCGCACATGCCTAATTATGACAATAATGAATAGATTCTACTATGCATGTTAGACTGTAATTTTATATTTATAATTTTAAAGAAGCTTTATCAAGAGTCTAATTCTATTGCTTTAGTAATGATTTCGATTAACTATTTTGATAGAAGAATATATGATGAGAAAAATTTTTAAGTATTTAAAAGAATATGTAAAACTATGATAAAAATATCGATTGATTTTATAAAGAAAATTCCTCATAATAATGTTATGAAAAAGTTGCTATATGTGACCCATATTTTTTTCCTTATTTAAGAAATACGCAGAAGTGTTTTTTTTATTCTAATTATAGATAATATTCTAAATTATTTATTTGCCTATATCTAATTATACCTAAAAATAAATTTCTCATAATCTTTCAAGTCATTTTATCATCATTTTCTGACTCGGATATATTATTTCTGGTGTACTATTACAGGAATATACTTTTCTGGATCATATTAATCTTTACTATTATAAAAACTAGATCAAAATGTCTCATATATACTCTTGCTATGCTTCAAAACGATGATTAGAATGTATCAACATGTCAACAAAAATAACATGAAAGTCTATCATAGTACATATCTTCAACCCGATGACTCATCAAATCAATAGCAAAACAAACATTTTGTGAGGATGCCACATATCTAGATGAGTTCTTACAATCAATGTTATTATTTATGTAGTGAGCTAAATGATTTAATCAGATCTAATTTTCTAGTCTAAGTTAGATTTATAAGGTCATTGTTGACCGGCGGCTATAAGTGAACACAATGGATGAATTAAATCAATAGAACACTCAAATAAAATGGAATGCATCTTACAAGACAGTTCGTTTGTCTTACTCTGTTAGGATGTCTAAAAAGCTGATGCATCATCAAGTGTCCTAGTCAGACATGTTACGTTTCAACGAGTGACCGATTTTTACATATTTCAATAAAATAAATTTCATATAAACGCTGACATGTTTTGCACTTTTACAGTAAAGTTCAATAGTAAAAATATCATTGTTTTTCCATTTTTTTTGCTATAGGAAAGAGAAAAATGACATTCATAGAATGAAAACATTTTTGCTATTGACAATGTCAACAGCTTGTTTCAAAAAATGTTCTCAAAAAACAAAGATTCATAGTCACTCAAACAAATATTGGGCGTGTGTCTGTTGTTTCTTTTCTATTTTTTTTTAATCAAGGGTGCTACGCAGTTCATTTTTTTTCTATTATTTATGAAGTCCTTGAACATTTATGATAGATCTCTTGTCAATAAATATAATTTCGATAGAATAAAAAAATAAAAAAATAATTATCCCACGACGATATTTACACATGACTTGTTTGTCTGCAGGAAAAGAGAAGATGATGATTAGTCTGGTTTTTATTTAAAAAACAATCACGAGGAGAGAAAATGTGATAGAAGTGATCTTGTAGTACTTCATGTTCTATATTTTTTTTAAAGCATCTAGATCAACACGCATTCGATAGTTTTTTACTTGTTTCTATTCCGAGAAAAGTCAAGAATAATAATTCTCTCTATCTACGGATATGAAAGCTTTCTCTAGCAAAAAAATAGAACCAATCACAATGAATTTGCTTCTGCGTTTGTTAGCCGAGGGTTTCTATTATTAGTTTGAAGGAACGAATGAATCAAACAAAAATAATTGTACTAAACGGACAAATTATATAACTAGTCAAAGTTTTGTGTAAAAATTAGAGAAAAAAATTCTTTTAATTTCTACCTAAAAAATATATTATGCCTATTAATTTTGCATCGTAAACGCGACATCTATTAATCATTCATGATGTTGTTGTTGTTGTCCAATAATATATTGAATTCCAAAGTCTGTCTATTATAGCTCAGTGTATTATACTTTTCTATATGTGTATTTACGTAGAAAGATTGTTTTTTAAGTACAGTTTTTGATCGACCATAAAAAATAGTTAAAACGATATAATCAGTCATTAATGTTCTTTTCTAGTCGAATTTATTTGATTCTCAGATACTCAAATTAATCTTGGGAGGTTAGAGATTTCATGGCTTCAGCAATGGATTCATCAAATCATATAATACCTTTTAATGGTAATGTGTTACCAAAATTTAGCGAATATCGATCTCGAGTATGTTAAATGTTTGTTTTTTTTTTCGTAAGTTGATATTAAGACTTTTTTTTTAAATCAATTTAGGTAATGCTCGGTGATCTTCCGTCAGATTTTCTTCGTATACAACTTGTAGAATCACAAGTTTATGGACCATCAATTTTTCAACAAGAACTTGATGAAAATTCAAATTTTCTTGGTTATCTTACTGTGACTATTGCTGAAGTAATTATTTATCTTTTGTAATAAAAGAAAAACTTTATCTTTCTTTTTTTTTTATCAGGCTAAATTAATAAAAAATTCTGGTCCATTAGGTCTTCTTCGAATGGATCCATATGTTCGTTTTCAAATTGGTCCTATTTCACATGAAACACCAACAGCGTCTGGTGGTGGTAAAAATCCACAATGGAATGTATCATATCGAATGTATGAATAACATTTCATTTTTCATTAAATTTCACTGAGTTTTTTTTTTCTAGTGCTTTATTTAAAGGAATGGATAAAATTCATATTGAATTATTCGATCAAGTAAATACCTTTATTTTATTTTTTTTTGTAATAAAAATTATATTTATGTAAAAAATATTTTAGCGTAGTTTTACAGAAGATAGTTTTATTGGAGAATGTGTCATCGAAATTAAACATGAAGTAATCGATGGTCGAACACATCAACATTGGTATCCATTAATGGGACACGAAACAAATGCAAATGAAAATCAAGGAGATATTCTTGTTATTATGAGTTTAACGGTAAATAAACAGCTAAAAGATCTTATAGAAGAGAAAAACTCTTTGTGAGTTCATTTATTTATTTGGACGTCTGGATTATTTCATTTTCTTTGTTTTTCCTATTGACATCACTTTCTGTAATTTAATAACAATCCCTAATTGTTCTTATCTCTTGCTTTTTGCACTAAAAGTTTTGTTTCTTTTCACCTTTGAACTTTGTATCAATCAGGAAGACCCCAAAAAAAAAACAATGCGTATATTATTTAGTTGTTCTGTTCTCGATCATATTTACTTTTAAATTTTATTCTACGGTTTTTTTTTGTTTATATAGCCAATGATATCAGATCAACCACCAACAATAGAAAATTCAAGTCTTGTAAATAGTTCAACTGGTTCTTCATCAACATCATCACAATCGAATAGTATTATTGAATCGACACCAATTTATTCGTCAGATGACATACGAACAATTGAAGAAATGTTTCCTGCAATTGATCGTCAAACAATTATTGATTTAATGGATAAACATGGAGGAAATAAAGATCTTGTTGTTAATCATCTTTTACAAAATAATGTCTCATAATATTTATATATCTTTTTATTTAAAAAAAAAAGAGAGAAATAATCAAATCTAAGTCATGTTTGTCTTATATGTCATTAGTGGTTTATGAAAGAATAAATTTCATTTTAGATAAGATATGTCAAATATAAAAAATCTTCCGGTGTCAAAACCAAGTCAAAATCTAGATGATTTTCAAAGTGCTGAACAAGGTGAATCGAAATTTTGGCGTAAGGTTAAAGCAGATCCAGTTGTACCTATTGGTAAGTTCAAATTTTAATCTATTTCTATTCTAATTAATATTAAATTTAGGTATGGCAGGATTTGGTTTGATCGTAATTGGAGCTATTATTGGTTATAATAGACGAGATCGAAGTAAGCCTACATCCACCTATTGGTAAGTAAAAATTAAAATTTTACATATAGTTTGAAAAATTTCTTTTTTTTTATAGGATTCGTACTCGTGTTTACGCACAAGGTTTTGTTGTATCTCTACTAACTGCAGCAGCTATATATCAAGCAGTTAAAAGCACTCCACAGCGACGTAATATTCAGGAACACAATAAAGCTCGTCATGAAACATCAGCAGACAATAATCATCCTTCAAAATAAAAACTATGAATTATATTTTGAATAAGCGTAACAGATTTCACTTATTCTCGATTTTTTTCCGAGTTCCGTTATGTTTTTTTATGCCTTAGATAATTCTGCTTTTAATATACTGCTGTTGTTTGATGGTTACAAACAAAATAAAATATAGATCTTTAAACCTATGGTAGTAGTCATAAATGATTATGTAAAAAATATAGGAGAAATATTTCGATGAGACAAATATATTTGACATCCTAGAAGAATCAAGCACACTGAGCAAAATTCATCGTTTATGTGAACTAAATGAACTTCTGGATACTTTATAATAAGTGTAATATCTCATAAGTTACAGAAACAATTGTAATGTCTTAACAAAACAAAAAAATAGAGTACATAAGCGATAAATCAGTACATTTCTCTTGAGCGACTCCTTTCGAATCAGTTAAATGCAAATTGCATATTTTATTATCTGTTTATCTGTTACATGATAGAAATTAATCTCTAATGAATTTCTTTTATTCTACATATTCTTGGATTTTCTGCAGTAAAAAAATTTCAAGGAACATAAAAAAATTAACTAACAATAGAAGATCTTATAGTGTAAGTCAGGGAGATTGATTATATTCGGGTCAAATGAATGCTCTCACTACTAAACTAGCTAATTGAAAACATGTGCTGTTGATATCGGGCATAGACCGAGATTTTCGAATGTTACGGTATTTACAGTCTATGTCTTGCAGCTCCACTTCAAAATTTCAACAGCATTGTTTTTTTTTTCTTCATGGTTGGATAGAACTCGGTGAGTTACATAAGAAACAAAATAATGTTACACATATTCAAAAACAATTTTAAATAAAATTCCAAGACACTATTATTGTTAAATACAAGGGCAATAGACACCTAATTCTGACTGTTGTAAAATCGCTTTAGAATATGTGAGATATTGGTTTTTCTTAAGAGAATCGTCAAGCTCTATTCAATTATGCCTCCTTAACTTATAGTATACGACCTTTTATTGTAAGATGTAAAAAAACATATATTTTTAGTTTAAAATATACGTTGATTCAATAATATTATATTATATTTGCTCGCAGTTTACATAGAAGATGATCAATGATTGATAAAATAGTCTGTACTATCTTCACGGACACTATATAAAACACAATAAATATTCAATAATAATTATTGAAGTCGATCTTACTATTAGTTGTTTAGAACTCAACATGGTTTCATAAAAGCCAAGCATGATGACTTCTTCGATTTAATCCATTTGTCAATTCAAAATATTTATTTATTATTTCAAGATTACATATTAAATATAATTTCCACTTAAGAAATCATTTCATGATTGAGCATTTTTTCGATATAAAATCAAGATAAAATCTGTTTTGTTTTACAGCAATACTTTTTTTTTCTAATAACTCTATGTTTACGTATGTCATCTGTCGCGTATGTTTTGCTCGTAGTATTCTCATAGGTTTTTTGTATAAAAAAAAAACGAACTCTTATTTTTTTGTCTCAAGTATGGTGATAGAGTAAAGAAATAAATACAAAATCAGTTTGAATAATTTCCTTATTAAATAATGTATGCTCAATGGAAATGAATTTCAATTTAAAAAAGTATGCACTTTAGTTAATGAACATAAATAGAATAATAACTAGACTGCCACTCATAGTAGGCAGTTGATTGCAAGAGTTCCCGAGTATGTTAATATCTCTTCATGTTAAAATAGATTCTAATATTAATTCTTTTTTTAGCATGGCCTTGGGATGATATTAATGTTTACATATAAACGAAAAAATAATTTTTTATATTCTATGTTTTTCTATCGATTGATTAATATTGTTTCTTTTATTTTGACTGATTTATAAGTTATGGAAAATTTTTTCTAGATGCTTGAGAATCACTTTAAGTTTGAATTATGCACTGGTGTATAATTAAATTATCGTTGTCTACTTATTTATATCTTTTGCATGTTGTCGGATTTTAAAAAACATATTTTAGATGTGCACTCG